GCCCCGGGGGGTCCAAGACTGAGCTGTTGGGCCTCTCGAGTGACATCCAGACGAACGCCCGGGCGCTGGAGGGGCCCCAAACGCCGACCACTAAGTTGGCCGCTTTTGGCGCCGCAGCCGCGAGCGAAGAGCTGCAGCGAGCTGCGTTCGAGTAGATGTCTGGAGCAGATCCATGTTGAGGATCTGCGCCCGCTGGGGGGCGCCCCCCCCCACCTCGCCGCGTCGACCAGCGCCGCCGAGCAAGAAGCAACCGTGGGGTCCGCTGGGGAGAAGTCTGCGCAGAGCAAGGCCCAGGGGGTCAGGGGCCGCTCCGATGCGATGGAGCAGTGCTTGCGCGCCCCCGCAATCGGGAAGTGGTCGATGAAGTATCCTGGCGCCAACTCGCGAGAGGAGGCCGTCGAGGCCACTGGCGAGGGGATCTGTAACCTTTCGGTCCCGAAGCTGTTCGAGGCGGCGGGGGCCGGGGCCGCGGCGCCGTGTGTTGTGTGTCTTGCCCATGCTGGGGTCGGGTGTGCATGCGTGTCAGTGCGGGGTGGGAATCGTCCAGCATGCGAGGGGTGGGTGGGTTGTGTCTTTTTTTTTGCGGGGATAGGATTGGCCGCCCCCGTGGCCAGGGTGGCGGGCGTGGTGCCTCGTTGCGCGCGTGCCCATTCCATCCCAGTTTGCCACGTGCTCAGGCGCGTGGCGAGCTCGAGCAGCAGGCGGCCAAGCACGGTGTCGACGCGAAGGCGATCCTGGACCAGGTTGAGAGGGCGTGCGCCGACGCGACGACCATCGCCGCCGCCAGCCTCATCGTGAAGTACGGCAACTTTTCGGCGCTCGAGTCCAAGTTCCGCTTGAAGGCCAAGCTGCCGGAGGTGCGGGCGAATCTTCGCGTGCGCGAGCTTTGTTTTGATGACTGTGTCCCTGAGGATTTCAGAGCAGGTTTGAAAGTGGAATGTTGCCGCAGTGTGCGTTTCCAGTGTCCACTGCCAGGGCGCGCGAGGGCTTGCCGCAGCTGGCGGGGCGGGGGGCTCGGGATGGTCGGCTGCGGGTTGTCTCCTAGGCTCGGACTTTCTACCTGCGCGTCTGACACCCCCGTGAGAATTCGCCGGGTTGAGAGGCCCCCTTATGGACCTCGCGTGCACGCCGACGTGCTCGAGGGCGGCGCAACGCAATGAAGGGGGGGGGGGGGGGGGGGCGCGCGCGGCGGGCGCGGTCGGGGGGGGGGGGCGGCGAAGGCGGGGGGGAATGAGGGGCGAAGCATTCGGAGGGGGGGGGGCGCAGCAGCCGCCCGCGCCGCCGCAGCGCTGGCTTAATGCGCCCAGGCGTGAACGCGACGGGCCCGCGCCAGGTCGAGAGATCTAGGGTCCCCGACGTCGCGGTCTGCCTAGCTCTCAGGCGCCCGGTGAGACCATCTGTTCACGTGTCTTCCCGTGCTTGCCTCCCTTTCCTCGGCGGCCGTGACGGCAGTGACGGCTGCGACGACGTCGGGGCTCGATTGGCTCCAGGTCGGGGTGGTGGTTTCGTCCTCCTCCTCCTCGCCGTCGCCCACCATGCTCGCCCGCCCGCCCCCCGCCCCTTCGCTCCGCCCCCCCCCTTCCGCCTCCTCCCACTTGTTCCCCATCCGCTCTCTTTCTCCGCCTCCTCGTCCAACCCCCTCTCCTTGCATGCCTACTTCTACTCTTGGCCGCGCGGGCTTATCGGGGCAGGGGCGGGGCATCGGGCCGCCCGGGGCCGCTGGCCCTTTGATCGCATTCGCTGCAGAAGAGGCATATTTGCAACGCGGCGCGCCGAGCCAAACCCGACATCAAAGACGAGGGTTGATCAGGCCATGGACATGACAAATAAAGCAGGAAAAAGGCCCCCCAAGTTAGTGTTAACAAAACATTTCGGACCATCGGTGTGCTACAGCCTCCTGTCCCTCTGTAGTTCTCGCCGTTCCATCGCCGCTGCTTGCAAGATTCTTGCAGAACTGGCCGAAGCTCAAGCTCCCTCTCCCTTTTTTCCCCCCCCCACCGCCCCCCCGTCGCCCCTATCGCTTTCGTTTTTTTGTTTCCCCTCCTCCCCTGGCCTCCTCCTTCAGTCCACCTCCCCCCGCCATCCCCCCACGTCCGCCCGTCCACCTTTCGTTGTCCTTTCTGGGCGCGCTAACAGCATCATTCGGTTATCGGGGTGCCAACCGCGGTCGTCGCTTGGGCAACGTCAGAGGTGAGCCGTCGAGGCGAGTGGGCGGCGCGCGCGCCGAAGGGGGCGCCTCTGTCGCTCCGGGAGAAAAGGGCTGGGGATAGAGGGTGAGTGTGAGGAATCTTTTTTTTCTTCAGACAATGCGCGCGCATGCCAGGGCGGCGGTAAAACGCCCCGTCGTCAATGAAACCTGGTGTTCGGGGCCCGACTAGGCCCCGCGTCGCGCGTTTGCCATGGGGAAATCCGCGCAGAACGTCATATATGTCAAAAGGTATCCAGCGCGCGCCATGCGTCGCATTTTCTGATGATTCGCCCATCATTTTGGGAGCATCGACGAAAACGTCGCAACGGGCCCACTCGGGACATTTCGGCAATTTTCACGGCGAGCTAAGGTCTAGCGGCCATGGCCGGCCACAAATCTAGGGGGGCGCAGGGGCTGCTTTTGCATCCGAGTGCCATGCTTTGACCGCCCGCGAGCCCGAGGCACAGTGGTGCAAACCAGTGATCGGCGGGCTCTCGCGCCGCTGCTGCGTAGCGCATCGAAGGTGAGGTGCTGGACCAAGATGCATCAACGCGCGTTCAGATCGCTCATTTTGGGGGGCCATTGGCCGCAGATCCGGTTGAAAAGGCATGGGTTATCACAGTCGGCGTGCTGGAGGCGTTGCGACTCTGACGCCCCCCTACGGCACAGATGCGCTGTTTAGTTCCATGCTATTCGGGCCAAGCGTGTCAAGGGGTGGGGGTTGGATGTCAGCGAGCGTTTCGCGCGTCGCATCGTCCCGAACCCCGCGGAGCTGCTGGAGGTCGCTGATGCGCCCGACCGGTCCATCTATTGGATGAACACACCGGAACTCGGGCTTCCGTGGCGGCCCCGCCCAGCAGGTTGTTGCTTTCCGTCAAAGCTCTTGTGGCGGAGGGGATGTTGCCACCGCGGTGTTGACGCAAGTTGCTTTTCCCCTTTTTGATTATGTGTGCTCGGGCTGTGCTGGCATGGTCGGCACTATTTGGAAAAAGGAGACGGGGCGGGCGCTGGTAGCGACCGTCCTCGTGCGCATTGTTGAGGTCAGTTTTGGGCCGTTTCCAGAGCGGGGAACTCAGTAGGTGCAAATCTAAAGCTCATTGTATTCGGGCCGACAAGGATGTTGACCTTACCACGGACTGGGAGTTTGTTGCCAACAGGTCGGTTGGAGATCCGGCGGGGCGTTGCTATAACTTTCGCGGCGTCGAGGCAACTTTGTACGATTTCTGGGAAGGGTTGCAGACCTGCGAGCGCGAGGTGGAGGTGTGGGCTTCGGAGGCTGACGTTCCCAATGGGTGCCCAAATCACGGGGGCGTCAGGGAGGTCAACCCGGCGGGCCGCTCGGCGCCCTTGGGGAGCGCGGTTTCCAGGAGCCGCGGCTGGCCCTAACCAGGAACCCCCAAGGTGTCTTGGTGTTGAGGCGGGTTTGGGGTCGAGCCTGGCTAGGGGGATTTCTCGCGTTTGCCATGCAGTGGCGGAGGTGCTCCCTCCTGAAAGTCGACATCGATAATGTGCACTCCCGAATGAAGGTCATCCTCTTTTGCTCGTGCCGCGGAGCGGCCAGCTCCGAGGGTAAGCGTACCCAGAGGCCGCGTGAGTTTTGCAGTGGGCGCCTGGCAGCTCGGGCGCCTTGAGCTGGGTCAGTGCCCCCATTACAGGAAGGGGGTACGCCAGGTTCGCGTCGTGTCGAGCGGCGTCGACCCCAGCCGGGGCGTGTGAGGTTGAACGCCGCCTGTGGCCCAGAAGCGGCCCATCCTCGAACGATCCGGCCCTTTTGACAGGGCCGGTCGTTCAAATTTGAACGATTCCCGCGGTGTCAGGAGCCATGGCTGGGGTCGACACGACGCGAACCTGCCGTTTGAGAGCTGCGCATCCGTCGCCCCCGCGGGGTGCCCCCTGCTGTCCGAGGGGGCCTTCGCGGGGAGGCCGCCGCCCAGCCTGTTCCGCCGCTGCCGAGCCTGTCGCACTCAGCGTGTGGTCGGGGTGAAGGGGGGGGGCTGGAAGTCGTCGTCGTCCTCCTCCTTCTCCTCCTCCTCTTCCTCCTCGTCCTCCTCCTCGTCCTCCTCCTCCTCCTCCTCCTCCTCCTCCTCCTCCCCCTCCTCCTCCTCTTCCCCCTCCTTGCTTCTTCTGCTCCGTCGTTCGGGCATGTGGCCTAACGGCCGACCACCGCCAGCGCGTGCAGCTACTAAGTCGTCAAGCGGTTCAACGGTCATCAGCGGAGTCGGATTCCGGTGTCGGTGAGTCTGACCACGAGGGCGTCGAGTAAGCACAGTTTGGACCGCCTTGAGGGCAACCCACGCCAAGCCAAGCCTCCCCCCTCCCCCCTCCACTCCCATCCTTGCCTCCGCCCTCCGCCCGTCCTTTTAGGCACACCACACCCTTCATACGTTTCATGGAGCTCCACCAGAGGCCACAATGTGAGTGTCCGCATGTGTCCCCCGCACGCCATCAGACGTCTCCTGGCCCCATCTGGAGCTCCACCGAATGCCCCAGTGGCAGTGTTCGCATGTAGCCCGCCAAAACGCTGCGTCGGGCATGCCGGAACACCTCTCAGGCGCTTCATGGCGCCACAGGGAACTCCACCGAAAACGATGCTCACAACTACGTTGCTTACAACTGCATATGGCTTGCTCCTTCGCCGCACGCGTTTTAAGGGCGTCTTTTCTGGCTGGATGTATCCGTCCTTTGCTAACGTGCAACACCGTTACACGAATGTTTGCCTCTCTTTCTCCCTCGCTTGTTCGTCTGTTCCCCCACCCGCACGATTCTCCCTCCCCGCCTAGGCCTATCCATCCCCTCGCCGCTGCCGTGCGAGGAGGCGGCTCGACAGAACCTCAAGTTCGCGGTGCAGAAGAGGCGCCAATGCGTGAAAGAAATGGGGGAGGAGAAGGAGGAGATGGAGCCATGGAAGTGGTTGTGATGGTGGTTAGGGTGATGTCTACAAGAGATAATATAATGGTGTTTATGATTGCTGCTGCCGAGGAAAATTGTTAGAGTGAGGGGGCCGACGGGTCATTCAATGTCCCTGGGTGCGGGGTTGAAGTTGGATTCCGTGGTGCAAGGTGTTGTTGTTTTTGTTGTTGTTCTTGTTACTTTCACTTCTACTGCTACTGTTACTGCTACTGTTGGTGCTGATGCTGTTGCTGATTATGTTGCTGTTGCTGTTAAGGTTGTTGCTGTTGATGCTGATGTTTTTTTTGTTGGTGGTGTTGTTGATGTTGTGTTTGTTATTGTCGTTGTGATGTCTTATGTTGTTGTTGGTGTTGTTGGTTTTACTGCTTGTTGCCGTTGCTGATGCTGTTGTTGTTGCTGCTGCTCCTGTTGTTGTGATGGTTGTTCTCTGTGTTTTTCAAGGTGCTGCTGTTGTTGTGATTGTTGTTGCTGTTGTTCATCATTTTGTTGCTCGTTCGTTGGTGTTGTTCTTGGTGGTGGTTTTGTTGTTGATGCTGTTGTTTGTTGTCGTTGTCCCTCCCGCGACCCACCCCGCGGTCCACCCGCGACCCACCCGCGACCCACCCGCGACCCACCCGCGACCCACCCCGCGATCCACCCGCGACCCGCCCGCGATCCACCCGCGACCCACCCGCGACCCACCCGCGACCCACCCGAAAATTTGGCGCCTGCGGCGGGCTGGCTGCATCATTACATTTAACTCGCGCCTTCGGCCAGCTTCTTGCGACCCTCGCAGGCTCCCGATGACCCCGCCGCCCCTCATTCTCATCCGCATCTGCGAGGTGTTACATTATTTATGGGGAGAACAAGATGATGATGATGCTGATGCTGAAGCTGATGATGATGAGGCTGATGCTGATGAGGACGATGATGTTCACGATTGTGCTGACAACTCATGCGATATGGAGATGGTGGTCGTGGTGCTGGTGGTGGTGGTTGTGATGATGCCGATGCCGATGATGACAGTGATCAGGATGGTTGTAAAGTTGTGCTGTTGCTGCTGCTGCCGATGATGGTGATGACGATGATGATGATTATCATGAGAATGATGATGAGTATGATGATGGTGATGATGATGATGATGCTGATGCTGTTGCCGCTGCCGCTGCCGATGATGATGCTGATTTTGCTGCCGATGATGATGATGATGATGATGACGATGATGACGACGACGACGATGATGATGATGATGATGATGATGATGATGATGATGGTGATGATGATGATGATGATGATGATGATTATGATGATTTTGATGATGATGATGATGATGATGATGATGATGATGATGATGATGATGATGATGATGATGATGATGATGATGATGATGATGATGATGATGATGATCCAGGTGCCTGCTGCAATTCCCGCCACAGTGCCAGCTCAGCACTCCGGATGGCGAAGCTCTGAGCACCAAAGGCCGTCACACGCGACGTCTCTCGTGCCATGGAGCATGTTTTGGTTGTCTCGGGGCTGGCTCCTGTGGAACTGCTTTGGGGCTTCCCTTGAGGCTCTCAGGCCGTCTTTGGTCTCTCGGGGGGGTCTCTCGGGGCCGTCAGGCCGTCTAGGGACCGTCTCAGGCCGTCTTTGGTCCCTCCGGAGGCCGTCTTGGGCCAGCTTGGGGCTCTCTTGGGGCCGTCCATTCCGTCTATGTGTGCTCTTGGGGCTCTCGGTGAGCCTTCTTGCGCGTTCGAAAACCGCACGTGGGCGGATCATGGACCGGGACTTGAGAGCGCCAGAGAGGCATCAGGCTGCCCATGAAACCTCCAGGGGGGGGGGGCTATGCACGCGGCTGGACGCGACGAAGGGCGAGGGGCCTTGAAAATATTACAGAAAACTCTACAATACATTATTGGGCATTATACCATTCCTCAACGTGCAAGGGGTACGGTGGCGGATCAGGTGGTGATGATGTTGGTGGTGATGATGTAGGTGATGATGGTGATGATGATGCCGCTGTGGCTGATGGTGATGATGATGATGCTGCTGCGGCTGCTGATGATGATGACGATGGCGATATTGATGCGGATGGTGTATATCGTTTTGTATATGACGATGCACAACAGAAGTATGATGCTGCTGATGCTGATGTTGCTGCTGCGAATGCTCACGATGTATGCTTGGTTTTGTGATGACGAGTTTGCTGATTATGGTGATGATGGTTGTGTTGATGACGACGACGATGCTGATGATTAGGAGGATGACGATGCTGATGACCATGGTTGTGATAAAACATATGCAGATTATGATGACGACGACGATGATGATGATGCTGATGCTGATGCTGATGATGATGATGGTGATGATGATGATGATGATGATGATGGCATTTCGTGTGACGATGGTGACGCCGATGGCTGTGATGGTGGTGGTGGTAATGATAGTGGCGATGAGGATGATGCTGATGCTGATGATGAGGATGATGATGATGACGACGATGATGATGACGATGATGATGCGAATGATGATGAAGATGAGGATGCGGATAAGGATGCACATGATGATGTTGATGGTCATGATTCTGCTGACGATGATGATAACGATGGCGATGACGACGATGCTGATGATGATGAGGATGAGGATGAGGATAAGGATGATGATGATGATGATGGAGGTGCTGGTGATGATGGTGATGATGATGATGCCACTGATCATGATGATGATGCTGATGACGATTAACATGACGAAGATGACGATGGTGCTGATGATGAGGATGACGCTGATGCTGATGCTGATGATGCTGATGACAATGCTGATGTTGATACTGATGCTGCTGATGATGCTGATGATGCAGATGATATGATGATGGTGATGGTGATGGTGATGATGATGATGATGATGATGGTGATGATGACGATGAGGAGGAGGAGGAGGAGGAGAAGGAGGAGGAGGAAATTTGAGGATAACAGGACGAGCAGGATGACGGGAATGGGAGTGATTTGGAGGACGTGCTTTAATGGGCGGGACGAGGATGGATACTGAGCGCAACGTGTGCTGCCATGCGACTCTGGTGTTCCACGTCTTGTCGGATTTCTGTATGTCGCGGCAGGCTGGGCACCAGAAGTTCCAATTGTTGTCTTTTTCTGCCTTCTCCCCCCTCTCTATCTCCTGCGTTCCATAGGTACTTTGCGCTGCTGCGTTGTGGCGTTGACCCCAACGAGGCAGCTGTTCGCGCGGTGCTGGAGGCTCCTGGGAAAAGCGTGAGAGGAGGCAGGAATCTGAAGGGAGGTATGAGTGCAGTGTAGGAGGGAAGAGGAACATCAGTGCATACTTTGCAGGAGGAGTCGGAGGGGGAGGAAAAGGGAGGGAGAGGAGGAGCCTGAGCAGAGGAGGAGGGAGGAGGAGGAGGATTACCAAGAGGAGCCGGACAAGTAGGAGCAGGGGGAAACAGGCGAAGGGTCAGGAGAATGTGGAGGAGGAGAAGGAGGAGAGGGAGGAAAACGAAGGCATAGGCGATGATTTGCAGGAACCGGAGGCGGAGGATGAGAAGCATGCGCGGTCTCCCCTCCCCACACCTACCCTCATCCTCTCCCCAGCCTTTCGACCTCCCGCCTCTTACCTTCTCTCCTCCACAAACACTCTTTGCGAGTGTTCGGTGCTCTCCTCTCTCCCCTGACCACGGCCAGGCCGTTTGTCTGCCTTTCCTGGGTATTTTTGTTGCGGCTTCGCCTTCAGGACTTCAACGTGCGATGTGTTGTTTGTTTGCCATCTGTGAACGTTTGCGGTCGTTCGGAATGGCGTGTCCGCCTCGGCGAATGACGTGCCCGCCTCGGTGCCTCCACCACTCCTGTCCCTTTACAATTATGCAGTGGCGCCAACGCGCGAATCCGCCACTGCGCTTGCGTGGGGTGTGTGCCTGGTTCCATTTGGTCCCATCTTCCCTTGTGCAGTAGGCGACGTGCCACGCGCTGCAAATACCATGCAGGCATCTCTATCCAGTCCGACGCACAACTCGGCGAGCCGAACGGGATTTGGCGCCGAGAGAAGGGATGCGAGACGTCACGTCGTGGCGCGAGCGCCCTAGCTTGACCCCTTTTCCCTCTCCTGTCCCCTCCTCTTCTTCCTCCTCCTCCTCCTCCTCCTCGAGCGAGTCTGACAAACGCCTCCGCGGGATGTTCGATTGGTCCATTGGCAGGCAGATTTCGGTAAGTGCAGCTGCCTGCGGGGCAGCACGATCCGCGTGAGGGTTGCGCTGGTATGCGAATACTGTCCCGTCCCTAGGGCCCTAGGTGGAGCTCCCTGTGGGGCACCATCCTTGTGAGGGGTGTGCCGAGATGAGCGGGGTTCCGCAGGTGTACCTCCCCTCCTGGAGGGTTCGATCCGTGTGAAGAATGCGCGGAATACGCGGGGGGCCGCTATTGAGAGTGTGTGCCTCGGTGCAGCACGCTTTTCTCTAAGATTTCCTCGCCCCCCCCCTCCCCCTCGGTGCCGACATTTTCGTCCCAGGGTCTGGCATCTCTTCTCGGAACTCTGCGAGGATTTTCTCGGCTTCGAAATGCGTCGGAGACACAATTCCGACATACGAACGGCGCCAGGAAACCGACAACATGGCCAACACGCGACCAGGTATCAACATGGCACGTGACGCCTCCAAGATGACCCAGGATGCCCCCCAAAGGGGCTCCAGGAGTACCTCCAAGAGGCCCCGAGATGTAAACACCTTTGTTTGCAGTTCGTAGTTGTTTGATTTCAGCACGCTCGCCTCTTGGGTCTTCAGAGCGTCCAGGACAGCAACCGAGGCGCCGAAGATCACCCCAAGATGGTCCGTAGCCACTTTGGCTCGAGCTGTTCCTCCTTGCAGACGCAGTCGGCATGCCCTGACATACTGGTATGGTGACATCCGCTAACTTTCGCGATTTACACATCGCGGAGCCTGGCTGCGCTTCGTGCTCTCCGCGCTGCTGCTGAGGGAGCTTGCGCCGCGCCCCCACGCCATCCAGGCGAGATCGCCAGCCTCGATGGGCGCCGGTGTGGACCTGGACGCCCTGGTGCTGGCCGAGGAGTCCAGCATGCACAACCGCGCCATGACGTTGCAGGCATCGATGGAGAGCGAGGAGGGCGGCCAGGTGGGGACCACCTTGTCTCCAGAACAGCGCACGGTCGCCCACCTTCAGAAGTATGAGAAGGGCTTCATCGTGGAGCTGACCATGACCGAGACGCAGGAGACGGGAAAGCTGATGGAATTGCGGTAAATTGCGCCGATCTCCAGCCCGCCAAGGTAATCACGATCCAGAAGAAGGGCCTCATCACGGAGTGGAACAAGAACAACCCGGACAAGGAAGTGCACGTGGGCGACGGCGTCGTTCGCGTCAACAGCATCCAGTGGCACGCGAACACGGAGACATTTATCAATCATATCGCCGGCCAGTTCAAAACCAGGCGCAAAGGGCTAGAGGGGACGGATGACATATTTCCATCCCTTCTCTTTCCCTTTCTCTGCCTTCACCTCCCCCTGGCGTTGTTTATCCTTTGCGCCATTCTCGAGCTTTGCAGATTTAGAGCCTCAGAGCGGTACGAACACATGTCCACGCTCCATGCTTGCCTCAATGGGTGTATCTACAACCCCCATGAGAGGAAGCGGGTGCCTTACATAATCTGGGCGGAGGCGAGTCCATGTCCATGCTCAATGCGCGCTTCAATGGGCGTGTCTACAGACCCACTGGAGCTGGGGCTGTTATTGAATATCGTTTGCGGTGAAGGAACAGTTGTCAGGCTTTACATCCAGAGGCCGAGGGTTTGGCAGTGCAACTGTTTTGCTTTGCAGCGGGAAGACGCTTACACAACATTATACGCTATGAATCGCCCAGCTGTTCATGCCCGATAAGCTATACAGCTCCCTTGCAGGATCATGGGCTGGTCCCTTGGCCTCCAGCATGGACATGCGTGGACCCAGGAATGAATGCCGGTCGTCATCAAGAAGATCGAAGAATGCGGCTCAGTGGCGCAGTGGAACAACGAACACCTGGACCAGTTGATCTTGGGAGGAGACCAGGTCTTACAGTTCGAAACGTATTTTTCATTACAAAGCCACGATTTGGATGATGGTCCTGAGAAACACTACAGGTCCGCCACCGTGGGCAACAGGAACAACAGGGCGGCGCTCGCTCGAGTCCAGAGGCCGCGGTGTATCCAGGAGGCCTCCGAAGAGACGCATCCAATAGGGGGAATCTTCCAGGAAGAGCAGCGGTCTATCCAGATCAACCTCCCTCAGGCCGCGAGCCCCTTCACCTGATTGGTTGGGAGATCGCGCCCTCTAGTCGCTTCTGCTCCCGTCCTTCGGCAACCATTCTCAATGCGATTCGTTCTACTTCTGATGATCACCGACGCGTGCCGCGCCTGGTTTAAAAAGGTATAACACCGTGCACCCCGAGACTAATCGTTGTTGGCGATTTTATCGTCGTTGTGAATGGTTCTTCTTGTGAACGGCACAAGACGGCTCAGGACTTGTCACAGCAGAGTAGCCGCCTGGAAGGGATTGCCTGTAATTCTTACGCTGTGGAGGCCTACTCGGCTTGCCACCAAGGGCCGCGAAAACATGGAGCATGGCTTGCATATAGAGCCCAAGGATATGGAGCACTTTAGATGATGCGGAGCACAACCACACCCGAGCCTCCGCCACTGTTGTCTGGTTCTGGCATCCTCGCAAATCTGCCGAGAATTGCAGCACAGGGCGACGAGTACGAGGCGGCCATGGAGGCCGAGTTCGGCGGGCGCACAGGATCGCTTGCGCCGGCCCCCCCGAACCCACTCGACGGCAGCGGGTCGAAACCGCCCGCAGCCGCGCGCCACGGCGCAGCGCCCAAGGCCTCGGCCGACGGCAGCGCATTGCCCGCTGACGGCGGCGCAGCATCGATTGCTGCGCCGAGGCCCAAGTCGCCGCCCGCCCTGTGCCCGGCGTTGAAGGCGCCGCCAATCTGCCAGCACAGGGCTTGGACCAAGGCGCCGCAGCCTGAGGCGCGTTTCGCCCCTGTGCTGTGCTCCGGGCTTGTCGACGCGCACGGGCCCGGCCCACGGCGCTTCCGTCTGCCCATTGCAGGTTGGTGCCGCCCTACGTGCCAACGCCGCGGCCCTGAACTGCCCATGGCGCTGATGACCGAAGGGGCCGGCAGAGAGTGGCATCAAAGGGCGCTCGAGTGATACACCAGACCGTCCACCACGCCGCCCGTGCCCCGCTGCGCATAGGAAGAATGGGACGCGTGGGGTGGGGCAGAGTGGGGGGATTGGGGCGGCAGGGGGCCTCGGCAGAGGATCGCGGCTTCTGTGCGAGGAAGCTTGCAGCCTACGCAGCTGTGGGGGGGAATGCTCAACAGGACCCAGCAGGAGCTCGCAAGCCGCAGCGCGGCTTCCAGCCAAGCGGGGGCGTGAGGTTCCTAGGCAAGTGGCAGCATCAGTGGCTTGGTCCCAGGGCCAAAGGTGGGCCGCCGCATGCTAGCGCAGTCCGAGTGCTGCCAGTCGAAGCCGCAAGGAGCGACCTACGCGAGTTGGCACAGAACTTGCGTTTGCAGCAGTTCTCGAACGCCTGGCCCTACCGAGGAACGTGGTGGGCCATCAGCCAGTTCCTCGGTGCGCCGCACCTCGGCGATAGCCATGGCCGGGATATCGTCTGTTGTTTTCGCAGTGGCGCTGGGCCGCTTACGTTGCGTGCGTATTTGAACGGTGATTCGAGAATCGTCCATCATCCATGTTACCATCCACATTATCCATCATCGGTTCCATCATCACCATCATGCGTCTCCTTTCCGTTTTCGCCATGCTCCTTCCCATGACCCCCGCGCTTTCGCACTGCGTGCGTATTGCTTTTTCGTTTTTGATCTTTGTTGGGGGGTCATAATTCTATGCGTGCAGGTCAGTGGGTGCGCGCAAGCCTGCATGCATGCTGGGCTGAACGTGTCTCTCGCACGGTCTGACTTGGCACGCGTGGGGGTCGTCGTCGAGCGTCCATGTTCGTGAGCAAGTGAGAACATGAGCAAGTATTCGAGGACAGTGCCATCCAGGACTCAATTGGTTGTCGTGACGGTGATTTACTGATTCCCGACGGCCTAAATCAACAATTCGACGCTGACGAGGAGGCCGCAGCACACCTTGGACTTTGAATCTGCCGCCTCCATCCCGTGCCGCCTGCCATGCCGCTAGAATCGCAGGCCACCCCATCGCTTCGCGACTTAGCGCGAGGACGCGTCCTCCCTTGCAGCGGGCTCCTCCCCGAACGATTGAGGGCCATGCGTTCGTTCTTTGATCACTGCAGCCACGCGCCACGTGACTTCATTCATCCCCAGTGCTGGCGTATATTCCCCAATCAGTGCTTGCACTGAACGGGTGTTAGCGGAAGTTGAAAGATTTGGCGAACGTTTCCCGCCGATTTTGGCCGCACGCTGGGTTCCCAGGTTACCTGTTCTGGGTTGCCGGAGAGATTTGGCGAAAGTTTCCCGCCGATTTTGGCCGCTGGTTGGGTTCCTGAGTTCCCGGTCCAGATTCCTGGGTTCCTGGTTATTGGTTCCGGACCGATTTCGGTGGGTTTCGGGTTCCCGGGCTCCTGGTGTCCCGGTCGATTTCCTCATCGATATCTTTATCGATCCATGTTCAAACCATCTTTTGATGGTTTGTTGTCTGGTATAATATAGTCCCCTTCATCCATTCCACCAAAATGAAAGTTTACACTTCGGGTGTCTTCCATGCGTTGGAAAAAGGGGATGGGAAAAAAGGGTTCCCGGGATTCGCCGCGTTCCGTCCTGTTGCCGTTCCGTTCCTGCCTGTTGTTGCTTGTGGCGCTTGCGGAGGTGTCCCGTGGATGCTGCGCTCCAGCCCGTCGCCGCCCGTTGCCACCGGCCGTTGCCGCCCGTGGGGTTGTTCAGAAGATTCGCCAAGTTCGTTCCTGTTGCCGGTCGTTGCCGCCCTTGGGGGTGTCCCAACGACTTGCCATGTTCTGGCCCGTTGCCGCCCGTTGCCGGACGTTGTCGCCGGTTGCCGTTGCGTTGTCGCCTCTAGTTTGCACCGCGTGTACTGCCCCACATAGGTTATCCTTTCCAAAATACAGAATAGGCTCTACCCCCCCCCCCCCCCGGCGTTATCGCCCCCCCCCCCCCCCTTCGGGTATGTAAATCATATATGATTGTGACCACATGTCCATCCTAAATAGGAAATCGCAATGTCCCAGGCCAACCAGGCTCCCCTCCCTGAGGTTCCTGGGGGAAAAAACACTATGCGGTGCCATTAATTGTTTAATCGTAAGACTATTTTCGCCAGGAATGGGACGAAGTGCGCACGCGCGCGTCGTCGCGCGCGCATGCCGAAATCCTTCGCAAACTTTCGTTGCCGGAAGGATTTCGCAATCGAATTACAAAACCAACCTACTACAACAACACAGGGTTTCGCAACACTGATTTGCTAAAACAGCTTCTGCGCGAGCTCTTGCGAAATCTCAAGAAAATTATAAGTTTTTTTCCATATTTTCACAACGTGCTGGGCTTCGCGCGCGCGCATGTCGAAATCTGTCGAACGCCCTTGCGCGTGTGCCGTCGCGAGAATCCTTTGCAAAAACTGGGACGAAGTGCAGACGCGCGCATCGTCGCGCGCGTACGCCGAAAACTTTCAAAACCCATCGGTTTCGGAAGGATTTCGAAATCGTGTGCCCCAGAAAACCACAAAAACTCAAGGTTTCGCAACACGGATTTTCAACCAAAGCGTGGTCGTCGTCGTCGTCGTCGTCGTCGCCGTCCTCCCTCCTCCCGCGTCGTCGTCGTCGTCGCCTACGTCGTCCTCTGTCTTTCCTCGTGTTCGTCGTCGTCGTCCTCTTTGGCGTCGTGGTCGTTTCCGTCGTCGTTGTCGCCGTGGTCGTCCTTCCTCTTCCTCCCTCGTCGTCGTCGTCGTCCGTCGTCGGCGTCTCGTCGTCGTCCCTCCTATTCCGTCGCCGTCGTCGTCGTCGTCGTTGTCGTCGTCGTCTTCCCTCCTCCCTCGTCGTTGTCGTCGTCGGCGTCGCCGTCCTTCCTCCTTCTTCGTCGTTCGCGCCATCGCCGTCCTCCCTCCTCCCTCGTCGTTGTCGTCGTTGTCGTCCTTGTCGCCGTCGTCGTCCTTCCTCCTCCCTCGTCGTCGTCTTCGTTGTCGTCGTCGTCGTCTTTTTCGTCGTCGTCGGCATCGGCGTTGTTGTCGTCGTCGAAGTCGTCGGAGACGTCGTCGGTGTCGTCGTAGTCGTTGTCGTCGGTGTCGTCGTAGTCGGTCTTAAGAGGTTTTGCAAACCAACTTGCTGGTGGGTGGGTGGGATGTTTGCAAGAGCGTGGGATGCGTCAAATCATGGGTAACAGTCATCGACATCACATAGTTTGAACCACATAGCCCCCACAACCACATTGCATGATCCCATGTTTTGGATCCGCGTTGGCTAATATCCCTCCAAGTGACTCATCCATGTATCCCTCCACACGTATCGGTAGGGCGGCCTGGGCGATTCGCCTGATATTTTCTCGCCGCGTATGATTATGACATGTGGGATTTTCGATTGACGCGGATGGAGGGGCGGGGTCATTGGCCGTACAAGTTCGGTACAATTTGACGGATGGAAGGGAGGCGTGTTTTTTTTTTTTTTTTTGAACATGTGAATATCGTCTTACCGCCCCGCGTATTCTTTCACACACTTGCAATAGTCACGAGGATGGAGGGCGGTTTCTGCCAAATTTGTACATCTCACTGTAGCGCCGCCCACATTTCTTTCAAACTCATATGACGCCCACTGGTGTGGCTGGGGATGGTGGATGGGGGCTGTCGCTTCAGCGCCGCGCATACTTGTCTCAACATATTGCAGCAAGTATACGGTTGTAGGGGGGGTCCTGCTCAAGAAGGGTTTTCTTCAGTGCCCGACACACTCGTCTTACAAACGTGTGGTATTTTTATTGATGGAGGGCTTTTTTTTCCAAGTGCGAATTTCGCTTTACTTTTCCCCCCAGCTGTAGCAACCGAGCGTGTAAACCTGTGCACTCGTTGCACGGATCGGGGCGTCCTTTCTTTTGCTCAACGGGACTCTCGCTGGTTCATTGTTTGAGCTTGATGTTCCTAGCTTGGCGCATTCCTCAGAAGTCGCTAGCAGGATGCAACGCAGTCATTTTCAGAATGGGGTTCTCGCCCAAATGACAGTCACATTCGGGTGCTAGTCTTTCAGAGGGGGCGTTTGTAGCAGCATCGTTGAGATGTTACGTGGGTTTGCTCTAGCCGTCGTCGTCCTCCTCCCTTTTTCTTTCTTTCCTCCCGCGCCCCTCTCGCTCCCACCCTCGTATCTTCTTCGCCCTCCGCCTCCCACTGGCCGTTTTCCTCCTCCTTGTTCCCGCACTGGCTAATGGCGGCCAGGCCAAGAACGCTTCTTGCGGGACAACCGCGGCAGCGAGGCCTCGCCGCCAGGACAGTCCCACCCGGGAGGGGGAGGAGGGAGGAGGAGGGAGGGGGGCTGGAGGAGGGATGAGGGGGGATTTTGGATTGCGACGCTGCTGAAGCATATAGCCTGTCAGCAACCATTGGCGCGCAGCTGGCACAGATAATTGCGAACACTCTGCACGGGCACGTAAGGTCAAAGGACGGTCAGTACACAGGAACAGTTACAGCTTTCAACCGTGGTCAGGTCAGCGGCTCAGAAGCGCGGGGCGATCCTGGACAGATGCTGGCGACGCGGCCCTGATCGCCAGAACTGTTCAATCCAGACTGTACGGATGAGGGGGGAGGGTGGGAGAGAGGGAGGGAGGACGGAGGAGGCAAGAGGAGGGAGGAGAGGGACGGAAGGATGAAGGCGGCAGCAGGAGGAAGGACGAGGGAGGTACAGCAAAGCCAAGGAGGGAGAGGACGGGGGTTGCGCGGCGGTCCGGCGCTGCTGGCGTGTAGGAGGCGGCCCCTGCCCTGTGCGAGCGGGCGAGAGGGGCTCCCTGGGTTGGCCCTGCTCTGGCAGTGTGCCGGCGGACAGACCGCGGCGCAAGCGACGCGAAGTAACGTGCGAGGCGACCAGCGCGGTCGTGCCCGCCACCTGCGGCACCGGGCGGATCGGTGGAGAATTCGAGCTTTCCCCGCCAGGAGCTGGAGCGAAAACTGCTCGTCGTCCTTGGAAGTCTGCCTCCTGTGGCAGCTCCTCGAGCGGGCGAGCAACAAAGAACGTCATGATGAATCCTACTCTTGCCGAGGTCCGCGCGGATTTTTCGGGTGCGCGCTGGACCCCCCCGCGCCAGTGACGGCGCTGGGGGCGCCGCTAGGACCCGTCTCCGTTCCAAGACTTCCGCTCCGACCTCCAGTCCGTTCTAGTGATGCCAGCTGTTGTTCCTAGTGAGGGGTGGGACAAGCCTTCTGAAGGAGTCACTGCGACTGGCCTCCAGGGGCTGGTTCGGGGCCCAGGGGCCGTCGTCAACGGCGAGAACAGAAAACCTGGGATGGTGTTGACAGCTGTGAAACACATCGTCAGAGGTTTGGGGATGGGGGGAAACGGGAGGAGAAGGGGTATCATGGGAAAAGGGGGAGGAGAGTGGTACATTCCACAAGTAAAACACGTGAAGTGGAATGGAGGGTGGAAGATGGGGAATGGAGTTGGAATGGATGGGGAGAGGAAGGGGAGGAGACGGGGGAACAGAAGGAGGGGAGGGGGAAAGAAGGATGGGGGGTGGGGGAAGACGGGTGAGGGAGGAAGACGAGGGAAGACGGGTGAGGGAGGTAGGCGGGCGAAGACGGGGGATGGGGGCATGGGGGAATTCATCACGACGGTGATGCCTAAGCACGGCAGCGTTTCCGAACCCGGGCAGGAGGAGAGCCCCGAGCCGCGTGCGCCCCCAGATGCGACAAGAGAAGGCGCTACGGCTCGTCGTCGTCGTCGTCGTCGTCGTCATCGTGATCTGTCGTTGTCGTCGCCGTCGGTCGTCGGTCGTCGGCCGTCGTGGTCTGTCGTTCTCCGTCGCCGTCACCGTCGCCGTCGCCGTCGTTGGCCGTCGTCGTCCGTGTCGTCCGCCGTCGTCATCGTCGTCATCGTCGTCTCCTTTTCAGCGACGCTCATCACCTTTCCCTCTTCCAAGACCCAAGACGCCTCGGGGAGGGTCGATGATGGATGAGGTGATGGAAGGGTTGTCGCAGGAAGACGGGCAGGATGAGGAGGAGCAGGAGGAGGAGACAAGAGGACCAGTGTAAACCCAAGACGCATCAATGATTTCGCAACACGCCATCCTCCACGCTCCCTCTTGCTAGCATAGTTTCATCGCAACATGTCGATTTTGGCCACCGCCTCCTCACGCGTGCCAAAGCACTGAACATCTCGTGCCCTCTGCCACCTCGTGCCCTTCCGCCAGGAAACCTCAGGAACGGGTGTTAGTAGAGGAACGAAAGATATCGCTAGATCACCTTAGCACAACGGGCTGGTGGGATTCCTGGGAATCCAGCGTCGCGAATCAACGTGGATGTTGCGTCCAGTGTCAAAGCAAGATTGTTCACGCTTCGCGTACACCGAAGAGACACATACAGTGAAACACAGCGGGCAACCCGGATGAACAGGGAGATCTCTGGGAGCTAGGGGGTGGCCTTGGCGGGCCTCTTCTGACCATCCCTGGGGCCCGCGGGGCGCGAGGGGAGGAGGAGAAGGAGGCGGAGGAGGAGGAGGAGGAGAAGGGGGAAGAGGTCTTGGGGCCCTCTTGTGGCCCTCCAGGGGGCCCTGCAGGGCGTTTTGGGGCCATCTTGGAGGCAATCGATCAAATGAGGGGGGGTCCTGAATTCCCCCCCTCCCTCTTGGGGCCATCAGCATCGCATTGTGAGGCCCTCTTTGGGCGCTCATGCGCCGCTGTTGGGCACTCTTGGGGCCGTCTTGGGGGCCTCTTTGGTCCCTCTGGGGGTTCTCTTGGGTCATCTTGGGGCAACCTCGAGGCATCTAACGTGCATCGGGAACGAAACGGCGAGCAGGCAACCATCATTGAGTTCTTTGACGTATTTCAGCGATTGTGACCTCTTGGGAGGGGGTTCTTGGGGGGGCTCCGTGGGCACTTGACACCGTCTTGTGGCCCACGTCGGGCTTTATGGAGGTATGCCGCAAGCTATCTCGAACCACCTCCAGCTATCCAGAGCCACTGTGGAGGCAACACCATTCCTGGGACTTCGACCATGCGAATTCTTGTAATTATTGCCATATTTCCAAACAAATGCGCAAGGCGTTTGGACGAGAGCCATACGCCCTTCATCTTTGAACATGCTGCACAGTTTTCAAGACGAATGTTCGCGGCGCTAGGGCGAGAACAGCATTTTGAACACAACCCGTTCTCCATCACTAAGCGTGAATGCATGTGGGCGGCGCTAAGGCGAGAGCTACATGTTGTAACCCACACGCCTTCCATCCGTCAACATGTTGTACATTTCTAGCGTCATGATCCGAACTGGTGACGTAGTCTCAGGCGAAGCGCCCAGCACGCCTTACCATCACGCCCGGGGCTACGACGGGATTTGCTTTTATACAAAGGGACGAAGGATGAGGAGGCAAGGGGATAGTGAAGGAGGAGGAGGAGGAGGAGGAGGAGGGGCAGTATAGGCAGGCAACACAGACAGCGGCCCCTCCCTCTCCCCACCCTTGGATCATGATGTTCATGTTCGCCGTTCGGTCGTCCCGCCTTCTCTCCCTTCACCACTTCGTTGTTGTTGCCCTTCCCTCTGGGTCTTCTGGATGGGAGGGGTGTGAGGGCCGCGTCCGTTCTTGGAAACAAACGTCCGCCACAGTTCGAAGCTCAAGGAGGAGTGCGTAGGAGTGAGGATGAGGAAGGAGGAAGATGTGTAGGCGAAGGATGAGAGAGGAGGAGGATTAAACAGAGGAGGAAGAGGAGGAAGAGGAGGAGGAGGTGCATGAGTATGAAGAATGGGGTGGATGGCCCCTAAGGGCTTGACGGCTCTTGTCCAACCCATCAGTGGGGATCAAGTTGGATGAGCCGAGGTACATGTTGTACGTCGGCCGCATTGAGAGGCATCCATGTAAATTTTTTGAGACCTAGATGCAACGTTGGAGAAACTCTTTGACAATCCGTCGCGAGTCGATGCACAGCACAAGTATTCCAGCCATCAACGGGAGGCAGAAGGAGGACGGGACGGTAGGATGGGAGGGGCAATGGAGGGATGTTTGACCGGCTCTACAGAATATTGTAACGAGGCGAGGAGGTTGGCAGGCAGGGACGGACTGATGCAGGGCAGGAAGGATGAGGCGGATGATGATGATGATGATGATGATGATGATGATGATGATGATGATGATGATGATGATGGCGACGACGATGACGACGATGACGGTGACGATGACGATTATACGGATGATGTTGAAGATCATGATGATGACCGTGATGATGATGATGATGATGGTGATGATGATGATGATGCCGATGATGATCATGGTGATTATGGGGGTGAGGATGGTAACCTGATGATACTGAATGATGATGTTGGTGGTGGTGATGATGCTGAGGATGATGATGATGAGTACCATGAGGATGGTGGTGGTGACAATGACGATGCTGATAATGGCGAGTAGGATACTATTGCTTCTGATGATGGTGAGGATGACTACGGCGACGATGACGATTGTGGTGACGATGCTGATGATGATGATGCTGATGATGATGATGATGATGATGATGATGCTGATGATGATGATGATGATGCTGGCGACGACGACGATGATGATGATGTTGATGATGATGAGGAGGAGGAGAAACATACTGACGATGATCATGATTATGCTGTTGACGACAAGGAGGGCATCGATGACGACGTTGATGCTGCAGACGATGATGATACTGCGGAGGAGGATTATGCGGATGAACGTCAGACTACGCGTGAGACCAGAGTCAGTTGATCATGCTAGTGCTGCTGTTACATATGATTATGGAGATGGAGGGCATGATGATGCTGTTGATGACGACAAGGGTTAGTGATTATGGCAATGATGACGATTCTGCTGACAATTGTCGTGCTGGTGATGCTAGTGATTATGATCGTGATGATGCAGATACTGCTGCTGACGATGATGTAGCTGACGACGACGACACAACGACGACGATGATACTGATGATGCGGATGATAACGGTGATGATGATGTTGAGGATGATGACGATGATGATGATAATAGTGACGAGGAGTATGATTACGATGATGACGATGAGGAGGAGGATCCGCATCCGGATCCGAGGACGTGGTCGATGATGATGCTGATCATGATGATCATGATGATGGATTTGCTGGTGATAATGAAATGAGTATAAGGATGGCGGTGACGATGACGATACTGTTGATGATGCTGACAATAATGATTATGATGGTAATGTTGATGATGGTAATGATGATGATGCTGATGATGATGGTGTTGATGATGATGACGATGTTGTCGATGATCATGCTGATGATCATGCTGATGATCTTGATCATGATAACGAGGAGCAGGATGAAGATGAGGAGGAAGTGGGATACGAGGATATTGATGACGTGGAGAGGGGAATCAGGGGAAGCAGCCAGGAGGAAGCTTGGAGTCGTTTTCAATGAGGTTTGAGAATCGATAGGATGAGGAGGATGTCGCAACAGAGCCCCGACGATCTGCCGCGCAGCCAATTCCGAGAGAAGCCTCTCCCAACAAAAACCGCACAACGCTGCCCCTCCCAAAGAGGTCGTCCACGAGTCCAGAGCGCCCGGAGATCGCCCAGGCGTCCAGTGACTTGGGCTCCGAGTTTTATGTTCGTTGTCAATTCCGGTGTGAAGCATCGAGTTTAAGAGCTTCGAGGCTCTGGTGTGTTTCCTTAAGCGGTTTTTGCTCTTAGGGGAACCTATTTGTTTTCTAAAGAGCTTGGCCTGTCTGTCGGTCTGGCGGCCATCTTTGGCCGAGGTTGCCACCCGTTGCCACCTCGTCGCCGCCCGTTGTCTAGGCCTGTCTGTCGGTGTGGTGGTTATGTGGCCGCCGTCGCCGCCCCGTTGCCGCCTCGTCGCCGCCCGCCGTCTGGACCAGCCTGTCGGTCTGGCGGTCCGTCGCCGTCCCGTTGACGCCTCGCCGCCGCCCTAGACTGTACAACATAGACTGCTGCACATTGATTGCCCCTCGTAGAATGCATCACACATCTTGCACAGCATAGGTTGCCCCATATTAATGGCACAACGTACGTTGCACCACATAGAATGCACAACCTGTATTGCACGATGTAAATTGCGCCACGTAGATTGCACCATATGGAGTGCACAACAATAATATCACCACCCAGCTCATCGTCCATTTAAGATATGACTTCATACCATCCCAACAAAACCGGTATCACTCCCCCCCGCCATCCTCTGCAGCACAAACTATGCGAGCGCACTTCTACAGCATAAAAAAACACATTCCAATAACCCCCAGCATAAAAAACACAAAGACATCACGCGCGCATCCATGTCAAAATCGTACCCACAAAAAACCGCGTGCTTGCACACATTTCAGCATACAAACCAAAATGCGCCCAAGGGTTTTGCAACACACTTTTTGCAAATTTCCTGTCCGCGCCCCCATGTTATGATCATACAACAACCATCGGATTCGTATGACTTATACCACATCGAGCTATGTCATGTCACCGCGCGGTGCACCCGCGATACTACTGTCATGCGCCGAGGGCGCGGATCCCTTGCAAAAAAAAACATCACGCGGGCCACATGCGCGCGCCGCCGCGCGCGCATGATCAGTCTGACGGATTTGTTCGACTTCGGGCGCGCGGATTTCCTTGTCAACCTTGCCAGCATCACCGCGATCACCTGCTTCATCGACGGATGGACATCAGCATCGCCAGCGTGTTGCCATCATTGGAGCCGTTATCGCTCGTGCCGTCGCCCTCTTGAACATCGTCGTCGCTAGTGCCATCTTCGTCATTGTCGCAGACGTTGCCGACGTCATCTCGTCATCGCGCGCGTCCGAGTATCGCAGATCCGCTCACCTTCGTCATCGACTCACGGTGACGAGCATCGGCAGCGAAGATGTTATCATCGATGTCGTCATCGGTGGCGCCGCCGCCCCCCCGCATCATGAGTTTTGCTAAACAGGTTTCGGGTGGGAGGGTGGGGTGTTTGCGCGATCGTTGGATAGGACGAGTTCAAGTTCAGCAAAGTGGATTGCGCGTCATATTTTGCACCGCGTAATGTGCACAACAAAACAATATATATTGCACCGCGCAGAGCGCACCACCTTGAATCACCCCCCGCGGAGTTAACGGTCCCCCGTTCCGTAGTGCAACTTACATATGATTCTGCCCCATCGCCCATTCTATTTGTGAGCGCGTACTACCCCCGCCAAACCGGCATCGCTCCCCCCTCCGCCATTTTCCGCATCACATACTATGCGCGCGCAGCCGTTTATCCAAAATCATAAGTTCCCAAGAATCTTGCCCAACAAATGCCACAAAGTCAGCACGCGTGCGTCCATCTCAAAATCGCACCAACTACAGTTTGTTTGCAAGCGCTTCATCATACAAGCCTACAAAACCGAGGGATGTTTTTTGGTGTTTTGCAGATTTCGCGCCCGCCCTCTCAGGATAACGCCATGCGAAAATATGGAATTATGATGAATTCTGCCAAATCCAGTGCGCCCGCGATACGATTGTCATGCGCCGAGGGCGCGAATCCCTTTCACAGAATACCACGTGGGCCACATGCACGCACCGCCCCGCGCGAATGATTAGTCTTGACGAATATGTTGAACATCCACGCGCGCGGATTGCCTTGTCAACCTTGCCAGCATCACCGCGATCGCCTGCCTCATCGACAGATGGACATGGGCATTTCCAGCGTATTTGCCACCATTGGCGCTGTTATCGCTCGTGCCGTCGCCCTCTTGAACATCGTCGTCGCTGGTGCCATCGCAGACGTTGCCGACGTCATCTCGTCATCGCGCGCGTCCGAGTATCGCAGATCCGCTCACCTTCGTCATCGACTCACGGTGACGAGCATCGGCAGCGAAACTGTTATCATCGATGTCGTCATCGGTGGCGCCACCGCCCCCCCGCATCATGAGTTTTGCTAAACAGGTTTCGGGTGGGAGGGTGGGATGTTTGCGCGAGCGGTGGAGGTGGTCAAGCGTGGTGCAGGGTAGTCAACTGCGCCACGTAGACTACACAACATATAGTGGACCGCCTAAATTGCACCATTTCAATTGCTCGACGATATTGCACCACGTACACTGCGCAACATATAGCACCACATTGCACCACATCGGGGGTTGGGTGGTGGAATCGCAATGTTTCGGGCCCCCCCCTTCCGCGAAATTGGTTTCGGTTTTGTCGCGTCGTGCGTGCGGGCAAGGCGGAGCTGCGTGGGCGCGCTAGAGGACTGATCCAGCCGTCGCCAGGGCGATTCGGAAACAGTGGGCCGCCCCTCCGCCAACGGTGTGCGCGGGGTGGCCCGGGGTGTGTCCCGCCGTGGTGTCCCTTTCGTGTCCCATTGGTGTCCCGTCGGTATTCCGTCAGCGGTGGGCGGGCGGTGGCGGGGGGTGTCCCGCCTTGGTATCGACAGTGCAGGTTATAGTGGAGTTGATATTGAGATCGATCGAATGGGACGGATCGTGAGAGCAAAAATGAGATCGACAGTGGGGTTGATTGTGATGGTGTTTGTGATATCGATCATGGGATTGATGGAGGAATCGGGAATGAGATAGTTTGTTGGAATGATAGTGGGATGTATCGCTGAACCCATTGGTGCTAAGACTGGTCGCGAGGTCGGTAATGGTATCGATCGAGTGATATCGAAAGCGGGAACAATAACAACATGACATCGCAACGCCGAGTCATCATAAGGAGCGGTTCCCAACTAAAGGGCGCGTCGCCGGCATTCATCATTATACCCATCGCATTTGCCAGCAATTGGTTTTATCCCTCCCACCCCCCGACCTCCTTATCAACCGAAAGGTGGTCGTATAGGTAGAAGTCACAGCATACATTTGTTTGGCATCCGCGCTGGCTGGTTTTTTGGTGTAGTTTTGTTAGTTTTTCCTCCGCGTGCTTCAGGCGTGCCGAGGACTTTTGCAGGCTCTCAGACTTGGAGATGTACTTGTCATCTTCGGCTTGCAGTGGCTATTTCATAGCTTCGCGGCAACGAGGAAAACGGGTGGAACTCCTGGGAGGTCAGCGACTAAGTTACCCAGTCCGAAATCCGGCTGAATCCGGCCTCTTCTGGCATCATCCCGATTCATCCTGCTTAATCCCGCTTGATCCCGTTTAATTCGCGGCGTAATCTGGCGTAGTAGCCTCCCGATGGGGCTTAATCCTCCTCATCACTTCCGACGAAGACCTCGCAGGAGTTGCCTCCTGAAGGAAAGGTCCGGGATAAACGAGAGGCCTTTGGGAATGGTCGAAAGATCTTGGGCCCAAGCATCGAAGACAACACGGCCCGTCAGGTCCGGAGACGTCCTCCCACAAGGCTGTCTGTTCAGGGGGTTCCGCATCCAACCATTGGGCCGTAAGGAGGGCCGGCTCTCCCACGGAGCATTCTGCCCCAAGGGCTCCGGGTCCTGCATGCTGCTAAAGTTCCTGCTCGTTCCGCTGTCCTGCTGGAATTCCAGGTCCTGCTGAAGCTCCTTCTCTTCTGTGTTCCGCCTCCGCCTCTTCCTCCTCCTGCATGCGCCCCCGCCTGCGCGAGGAGCCTTCGTCGTCGTCGTCGTCTTTCTCCGTTATTGTCGTCGTCGTCGGTCGCTTAGCTGCGGGCGTCTCCTCCTCGTCGTCGTCGTCGTCGTCGTCGTCGTCAGTCGTCCCAGGGTGAGGAGGAAGCTGCGGGGGCGGCAGGTGAGGAGGAGGAGGGCCGCGACGTCGGGGTCCTTGGGGGTCTTCGGAAGTCCCCGCAGGTCTCCGGAGGCCCCCCCTCGGAGGCCCTCAGAGGCCGACGGAGGGCCCAAGGCGCCCATTATCCTGGGCCGTCCTCGTCCTCGAGGAGAGTGAGGGAAGATGTGCGCGAGGCGAGAGGACGAGGGAGTAGGAGGAGGAAGAGGAGGGGGCGGGGACGGAGCAGAGAGGATGTGGACGACCAGGACAGAGGCCAGCACATGACGACGACGAGGAGGACGGCGACGACGATGAGGACGACGACGACGAGAGATCGGGCGAGGCGGCCCCGGCGAGAGCAGCTCGTGGGGGAGCAGCTCGGCGAACAGCCGGCGCAGCTGCGCCTCACAGCAGCGGCAGTCGGCGCAGCCGCAGCAGGGCCGTCGCAAGGACGCGCCGCCGTCGCCGCCGCCCAGATGCCTCCGAACCGGAAGTGTCCGTGGCGTCGCAGTCGTCGACATCGAAGCCGCCGTCGCCTGTTGCGCCACCGCCCCGCTTTTCCGCCGTCCCCCCCCCTCTTGCACGGTGGCCAATTCGCTACCACGGTGACCCCGTGTGCTTAGCTTCAGGCGCCAGCGCAGCCGAGCCCTGCACAGCCGCCGACGAAAAAAGTTGCCGCCACCGCCGTCGCCGCGCCGCCAGCGCCGGCGCCGCCGCCATTGATGCCATCGCCGCAGCAGTGGCCGCCGCCGCCAGCGATGATCGAGGATGAGCATTCGAGGATTCAGGAGGTTCTCGAACGTTCTTGGCCCTTTTCGGGCCTGCGTGGGGGGCCAACCCCGTGGCCACGGCGGCGGCGATCGACGACGGCGACGACGGGCGTTGTCTTCGACGAGCGGCGGACGACGATTGCCGCCGCGGCTGAACTTAACTATTCCTTCCACTTCAGCTGCTCCCTTGTCATTTCCGCCCGCAGGAAATAACGAGGTGCGAGGGATGGATGACGGAAGTGAGGAAAGAAGACAGGCGCGAATGATGCTACGACTTCGGGAGACGATTACATGACAGCTCGCTCGCGTGTTCTCTTCCATTCGCTTCACAAGCCTAACTCAACTATGCAAACTGATCCCCGCCTCTCCGGTACTGCGCTTTGTCAGAATCGGCGTCCCACAGTCCCGAGCCCTTTTCCCTGCGCTGCTGTTTCGCCCCAGTTTTTGTCTGCGGTGGACGGCCCGAGGGCCCGAAGTGTGTCCGTGGGCGCCGGACGCGTGAGCACGCCGCACGCGCGTCGGAGAGGCGGCTTCGCGGGTGGAGCATCGTCCCGCACCACCCACCAAGCCACCCCAACCCAAGAAGGAGGAGGAGGAGGAAGAAGAGGAGGACGAGGAGGAGGAGGAGGAGGAGGAGGAGGAGAAGGAGGAGGAGGAGGAGGAGGAGGAGGAGGAGGAGGAGGAGGAGGAGGAGGAGGGGAAGGCTCAGATGTACCCTCGCTTTCTAGTGGGGGGGGTCCGGGAGCATCGAAAAAAAACACGTCTGGAGCCCAATACCCCCCCCAAAACCCGAATTCGGGTCTTCGGGTCGGGTTTTGGGGTGGTCTGGTAGGTGGTCGGTCCCCCAGGCCTTCCCGGCTGCGTGTTCCAGCCTCGGCTTCAGGGAGAGCCCGGCTGTGGCCACAGTCCAGAGCGCCCTCGGGAGGCCCATCAGGTGCCCCAGCGCGCGCACGACCCTCGATCTCCGATCGCTGTTCGCCGTTTGGATTGCAAATTTTTGCAAATTTTTGCAAATTTTTGCATTTTTTTTTGCGCGCGCACGACCCTCGATCTCCGATCGCTGTTCGCCGTTTGGAGCAGCAGCAGCAGCGCGAGAAAACTGTGCCTTCTGGAGCTCGAGTTCGGGGAACTCGCGCTCCTCCGAGGCCTGCTTCTGAAGTCAGGGAGTGGTTCGACTTCAAGGACCACGCGACGTGTTTTAAATCCGAGCTTGACCTCAACAGACGCGCAGTCCTCTTCCAGCGGGCCGCCGCCAGCGAGGACGTATCCGTGGCCGCCTGAGCGGCGCCGACGCGCGCTCCCAGCGGCGCCCTTCGATGCCCGCGCTGACTGGCGGCGGGCGCGTGCAGGGAGCCCCCTCCCAGGGACGTGCGGCTGACCGCCTCACCGATCCCGGCGGGGCCCCTCCTGGCCCCAGGGTTGGCGCACGCCCCCCCGCTCGCAGGGCAGGCGCAGACGCGTACAGGGAGGCCGGAAGAAGTAGGGGGGGCCGGCCCTTCCGCTCTTCCCACGCCTGGCCAGTTCGCCTGTACTTGTTCCAGCCCTGGCGATCTTATCTCCACTATTCGTGCTCGTCGCAGCCCTTGCTGGTTTTTCCGACCCTGACCACTTCCGTTTTGACGGAATTCGCACCTCCCTTTTTCCCAGCCTTTTTGTAGGCACAGACCGTGGGCCCAGGATCCGCCCGGCCAGGATCAGTAAGGTGATTAGTGGATGCCCGGCTCCGGGCAGTCCGAGGAGGAACAGGTACCCAGACTGCCAGTTACTCTCGCCCCGATCTCGCATTTCTGGGCCGCCTCGGAGGCCCTCTTCGCCACCGCTGGATTCGCCGCGAAGTTTAGGTCAGAGCGCACCCCGGGAGAGGTCCAGGGAGTAGCGGTATCGGTACCTTCTCATCCGACGGGCAGATGTTTCCCATCCGCGTCCCCAGGCCTTGACATCGGGGCGCCGCAAGTTTTGCGCACTCAGCATTTTCGCGCGGCTTCGGGCCCCCTCGGGCCCTCACATACCAATCTGGACGGGGGAGCCGCAGGCAGGCGGGGTCGATGGCTCCGGTTGTGATTTTCCACGATGTAATATATGATACATTGAGTTTGTTTCGCGACGTCGGATCTCAGGGGAGCCCCCTCCCCCTCCTTTGGGAGCGGGGAGCAGTTTTTCACCCCAGGCCTCTTAAATGGGCTTCGGCGGTGCAGCACGATCTGGAGCTAGATCTTCTCTTTCCGCTGTCGCCGATGCACTCATCGCTGATGCATCGGCGATGCGGTGCGACCCTCCGATCCCATCTGCTCCAGCCCCATCTGGAAGGCCTCCGAAAGCGGCCCCCCGGAGGCCGAAGCGAAGGGGGCGCGCCAGGATGGAACAGGTCCGGAGCCGGCGGTTGGGCCTTGCCCCTTCAGCCGTCGGCCGGCGCGCGGAGGGCGCGCGCTGCGATCCGCGGCCGCCCTCGCGGCGCCGCCCGCGCGGCCGGCGCGCGCCCCTGCCCGTGCTTGGCTGGCCAGATGTGCCGGGTCCAGGCCCGTGTCCGGGCTCCTGAGAGTTGGGCCGCCGGGAGGAGGGCGAGGGCGAGGAGGGCGGGGAGGAGAAGGAGGGGGAGGGCGAGGAGGGCGAGGAGGAGGAGGAGGCTGACGGGGGCGAGGACGAGGACGAGGGTGCGGAGGGCGACGGCGAGGGAGAGGGCGAGGACAAGGAGGAGAAGGACGAGGGCGAGGACGAGGGCGAGGTGGAGGAGGACGCGGACGAGGACGAGGACGAGAGCGTGGGGCAGGGACGAGGAGGGCCTCCCCGCCGCGCCTCTTGCGCGGCCTGCCCGCGGCCGCGCCCCCGCCAGCCAATTCGGCAGTCGGCACGCGGGGCGCCCGGGCGCCGAAACCGGCGCCTGGCCTGCCCCGGACGGCTGAGGCCCGGGTCGGACCAAGTCGGGGGTTCGTAGACCACCGATCGCCAAGGGCTCCCTCGAGGGCGCGAAGTTATTCGCGCTTCGCGCTTCGCGGTCCTCGTTCCTTCTCCCCCCTCCTCCTCGTCCTCCTATTCTCCCTTTGGGGGGGCGGCGCGAGGGCGCGAAGTTATTCGCGCTTCGCGCTTCGCGGAGCGCGAAGCGCGAAGTTGGGAGCCCTAGGATCGCGTTCCACCCTTCGCAGAGTGCCTGCTCGCAAGCGTCCGGAAAAGCATGTCTCCTTCCTATGTGATGGAGCGTAGATCCCCCGCGGCGGATTCAGGCCCTCTGCGAGTAGCCACTCTGCGAGTAGTGGAGCGCGCTGGTCGAGTAGAGGGGGTGTTGTTCCAAGTCGGAAGGTGGGTTTAGGGAACGAGCCCAGCTGGATGCTCACTGATGTCTTTTCTCCCAAAGACCGTTCAGAGCGACCCCCAACAGAGGGGAGGACTGGGAAAGCGGCGTGTGTGTGTGGGGGTGCACGATGTTTTGCGTGCTGCTGGTTTCGGCCTTGCCGCTGGGAAAGTCCGCTGCCGTGTGAGCTGGTTCGCCAACCGCCTGCACTGCCTCCCGTTGTCGTCAGGCCCTTGAGGCAGGCTCGCGCCGCCCTCGACGCGGCCTTCGGCGAGGGTCGAGCTGTCTGGATGGTACTGGTCCCTCCTGCGCCTCTGAGGGTTGTGATGTTCTAACCTACTTTAGCCTTGATCACCAGGAATAGTTTCGAGCACCCGAAAAAAGTACCGAATCTCGAGGGTTTTCACGTGTCGGGCCCTGCGAGACGCTCGTCCGACACTGTTTCGACACTCTTTCGACACTTTTCCAGGTGCTCGAAATTATTTTTGGGATGTGGTCCTTAAGTACGATGGGGGCAACGTTATCAGAGGGCCCTCTGTGGGCCTCCAGCCTCAGGGGACCCCCCCGCGCCGCCTCAACGCCGTGGCTGCGCTGGCGCGACGCGGGTGTGAGCGTGCAAGGTGGGAGCGTTCGGAGGCTCCTTTCGGGCCCGGGGACGCAGAGAAAAAGCCCAGGTCGGGGAAACGTAAGACTCGAGTGCGCCAGAACTCGGGTTTGCCGACGCTTTTTTACGAGCGCGTCCTGGAATTTGACGTTCGAGTTCTCGTGGGATGTTGCAGCGGGAGCTCACGTCAAATGTCAGGCTGGGTCTCGAAATTTTCATGGTGGCGCCGCCAGGCCAACCCGAGTGCCCCGCACCCGAGTCTTGCGTCTCACCGACCAGGTGTCGATTGCTTGTGCGGACCTCCAAGGCCAGAGATCGTTCAATCTTAACGGTGGACAGGGTGCCCGAACTTGCAGCCGACATCGTTGCGGCAGGAGCACGCTGTGGCCACGTCAGCAGCTCGTCTCCACGCCAAGATTTCTGGCGTCTTGCAGCAGCGTGGCGTGTGGCGGCCAGTCTTGCGACGTTTGGGCCGCAGGGCGCGGCCCGCCTCGGCTCTACAGGGCCATCAGACACCGATCCGCGGAGCACAAGATTGGGTAAAGCCAGGACCCCGTTTAAAGATATGGATTGGAATCACTAAACCAGTTCTGCCGTAGTTGGTGCTTTTCGGCTGACGGCAGTTCTGGTCAGTGGAATGAGGCGGGGGGGGCGTCCCCAGGTTCACATTTGTGAACCAGGTCCCACTAAACCAGTTGCTGTCAACGCCCGGCAAGAAGCACCCGGGGGGGTGAGCGGGCGTGCAAGCCACGTCTTGAAGAAAACGTCTCGGCATCGGAGCGCTGGGTCCCTGTCCCCCCCCCCCCTCCGAAAGACAGACCTGCACGCCGTCCACGCCCCCGTGGGGCACGGGGTCGGCGGCCTCCCTCGAGGGCCCGCTCCTGCTCGTCGCTCGATGTCTGGGGAGCGGGGCTGTGATGTCGGCTCCGCGCGGGGTCTACTAAAACGGGTCGTCGTCGTCGTCGCCCTCCTCCTTCTCGGCACCGATACCTCTCCAGGAGCGCGTTCTTACTAGACTTGTAGTGGGAGTGCAGCCATGGCGACAATGGTCCCCAAAGGGCCAACCATGCTAGCACGTAGATCCCAGACGTTGCGTTCGCACATCAAGTGTGGAACCTCATTTCTAGAACCCACCGTGATCCAACGGCCACGGTATGTGGAGCGCAATGGAAGGGTCAATTCCCACGGTGTGTGGATCACCATGTTGCCCAAGGCCCGACTTCGGCCTACCAGGGCATTGGCTGGAAGCGCAGGGACAACAGCTTCCCAGTGCAAGCACCGTGGTGCATGCGTAGAACTCCTTTTCCTCTTCGTCCTCGCCCCCCTCTGACACCGCCAACACAGCACTTGGCGTGCCCACATTTAAGACTCTAGCGCGGGAGGTGAGATGACGTGCTCGAAAGAAGAAGCTCGCGCTCCTCTTCCTTCTCCCTGTCCCCTCCTCCCGTCTTCCTTCTCCGTCCTCGCTCTCTCCCTTTGAGGCGCGTTGTGTGAATGCGATCGCTTCTCCAGCCAGTGCGGAGCTCCTCCTCCTCCTCCTCCTCCTCCTCCTCCTCCTCCTCCCCGGATTCTGCCGCACCAAGGGCCCCCCCCCGTTCGCTGGACGCGAGGTATTGCGTCCAAGGCCCCAATCGGCCAATAGTCGCCTCCTCCTCATTCTCAGGCGTCTGAGGGGCTCGTTGTGCGACATACCCTTCACGCCTACATGCCGTTCCATCGAACGTGTATTGCGCACCCTTGCCCTGTGAATCCCCCCCAGCACGCGCAGGAAGTCACATGGCGTGTCGGTTTCGCCGAGTTGCCCGTGACTGAAGGATCCATTCCACGGGGCGGTTTTGTTTATGGTAGGGTAATGGTTTCTCGAGCCGTTACATACCCAGTGGGGTCTCCATTGTTGGGTCTTGAGCCTGCTGGAGGGGACTCGGTTTTTTTTTGACAGCGCCAGGGCTACAGGAGCCCTAGTGCGCCCAGCGGCCATTGGCGGTCATCCAATCTGTTCAGACGAGACTCCGACCACATGCTGATTCACCGCCGCTGCCTGCTCCTCCCTTCATATGGCGGCATGGCTGGGTATTGTGGATGTCGTTGCCCCTCAGGGGCCCTTGTGCCCGCCCAGTTTCTTCTCCGCCCGGTTCCCCTTGGTCGTTGCCGGCGTCTCGCTCGCGCCCCCGCTATACCTCTGGGGCCCGCTCAGTCTCCCCTCCGCCGGGTTCCCCTTCGTCGTGGTCGGCGTCTCCCCGCCCCCGCCTCTCCCACTTTGGGGCACGCTGCATTCAGCAAGGCGCCCAAAACGTGCCAGCATCATGGAGAAAAGGAGGAATTTCCCGAAGCGGCTGCTATGTACCGCAAGGGGGCCGCAGCTCGACGGGCTCCAGTTCACCAGCCCTCGATTCAGACGCAGGTCAACTGCGCATTTTCGAAGCTACGGGCTACGGAAAAAACGGCTCCAAGCAGCAGTCACAAAGTTCGAGGACTTGCAGTCAGCGTCGGCGAAGCAGCGCGAGATCGTTGCGGAGTTGCGCGCCGAGGTGGGGACTGCTGAAGAGTCTCACAAGGCGCTGGTCACGAAGCTCAACAACATTTTGCAAAGTAATGTTATGCCTCCAGGACACACAGTTCTCTCGGCCAAGGACATTCAC